CTATATGGTCATCTGTGCCATAGTTACCGGAATAGTTGTTTGTACCAACGTTGCTATATGGTCATCTGTGCCATAGTTACCGAAATAGTTGTTTGTACCATGGTTGCTATATGGTCACCTGTGCCATAGTTACGTGGTCGTTTGTACCATAAAAATGACCGTTTGTGCCATAGTTATATGCTCATTTGTACCATAGTTACCTAGTTAATTTTAGTAAAAAAATAGCCGTTTGTGCCAAAAAAATGGTCACATGTGCTAAAAAAATGGCCATTTTGACCGCGTTACCGACAGACAGACAGACACAGGTGAATTTCGGTTTCTAGACCCTAGCCTTTCAGTCTAGGGAATATTTGGAACAGAAAGAGTAAATCAACTATGTATAGAGATGGTGTAGAAAATTGATCCGATCATGGCCGTATGTCTTCGATTAAATATCCGACATACCTCATTCATATCTATATCGTGAACATAAATAACAAGAGAAATCTTCAAACTAAATTTTTTACATGCTTTATCGTTTCCATTTGCGATTGTAGCACAATTAATAAACCCACCAGATATGTATAGTAATAAGAATAGCTTTGATCTAAATCCCAGGTCGAAATAGCTATGTCGAATCCTGTCGGATAGGTTTCAAATCCGTTGAGATACGGCTAATCGGATTCGGTCGGTTACTTTTTGTCGGATTCCGATGCTATCCACTCTTTTCCTTTGATATCCGCCGGTCGGATTCATCGAGTTCCGACTAGATTCATATATTCGGAACTGGTCAGATCCGATCTCAAGATCTGTTCGCTTCCGATGGGATTCCGGGGAATCTGATGTCAAGAAATCGCCGGATTTCGCGGTTTCAAGTGACACCGGATTCCATGATAAAACCGATCAATCACTGGTATCGGAACTTGTCGGATTATAAAAGAATGCAGAATACCCAGGCCAATCTCACACGATCGGATCCGATGGAAATTAGTCGGAAGTTGTCGGATGTTGGAAAGTGTCGGATTTTCAGAGTTCCGACAACATCCCGGCCACTTCCGACACTTTCTGACATCCGACAACTCTCTGTCGGAATCCGATACCAAGGATTCCGACGAATTGCCATCGGATTCGATAAAATTCGATAATTTTTCCGATAGGATTCGACGAGATCCGGCTGTCGGATTGCTCGTTCTGGGTATCCAGTATTATTTTCCACGTAGTCGGATTCATGAATTAGAATATATTCTGACAGATCAATCAGCTAATCATCCAATAAGATATTTCTCTTTTTACAAATTTCCAACAACAAAATCAAAAATCTGGAAATCCGATTTCGTCCAGATTTCTTTCACCGTTTGGCTCTACAGATATCGATCTATATAAGGAAGTCTCTACTTTAATATTTCGAATGAATTTCCAAAGTGTTGCTAAGATTAATTTTACTTCAAATGATTTATTTCCTTATACAATTATGTTTTCCATGCAATTGGATTCATGAATTAGAATATATTCTGACAGATCAATCAACTAATTAATTTATTTATTAGATATTCCGATTTTTACAAATTTCCAACAGCAAAATCAAAAATCTGGAAATCCGATTTCGTCCAGATTTCATTCACCGTTTTGTTTTACAGATATCGATCTATATAAGGAAGTCTCTACTTTAATATTTTGAATGAATTTCCAAAGTGTTGCTTAGTTTAATTTTACTTCAAATGATTTGTTTTCTTTATACAATTATGTTTTCCACGCAATCGAATTCTTGAATAAGATTATATTCTGACGGATCAATCAACTAATTAATTAATTTATTAGATTTTCCTATTTTTACAAAATTCCAACAACAAAATCAAAAATCTGGAAATCCGATTTCGTCCAGATTTCTTTCACCGTTTGGCTCTACAGATATCGATCTATATAAGGAAGTCTCTACTTTAATATTTTGAATAAATTTCCAAAGTGTTGCTTAGATTAATTTTACTTCAAATGATTTATTTCCTTATACAATTATGTTTTCCACACAGCGGATTCATGAATTAGAATATATTCTGGCAGATTAATCAACTAATTAATTAATTTATTAGATATTCCTATTTTTACAAAATTCCAAGAACAAAATCAAAAATCTGGAAATCCGATTTTGTCCAGATTTCATTCACCGTTTTGTTTTACAGGTATCGATCTATATAAGGAACTCTCTACTTTCATATATCAAGTGAATTCCGCCATTTTGTATTACTAAGTTATATATATTAGGAACAATCTTAGTACAAGCATTGTTCAATTTTAAGAAGGATCGTAGTATATACATTGTTAGATTCTAGGAATAATCCCAGTTGAAACAGTTGAAATCCTTTAGACTCTTGATGACATCCTGATGCAATCTTTAGAAATTTTGATAACATCCTGGTGAAATCTGTTCAAAATGTCGATTCAATCTTTGGAAAATCTTTAGAATTCTTGATGAAATCCTTGGAAAATCTTCGTGAAATCTTCAGAAATCTCGACGAAATCCTAGAGAAATTTTTATAAATCTTGATGAAATTCTTAGGAAATCTTCAGAAATCTGGATGAAATCCTGGACAAGCATTTATAAATCTTGATGAAATCCTTGGGAAATCTTCATAAATCTTTGTGAAATCTTCAGAAATCTTGACGAAATCCTTGAGAAATCTTTATAAATCTTGATGAAATCCTTGGGAAATCTTCAGAAATCTCGATGAAATCCTTGAAAAATTTTTATAAATCTTGATGAAATGCTTAGGAAATCTTCATAAATCTTGATAAAATCTTTGCGAAATCTTCAGAAATCTCGATGAAATCTTCAGAAATCTCGACGAAATCCTTGAGAAACATTTATAAATCTTGATGAAATCCTTGGGAAATCTTCAGAAATCTCGATAAAATGCTTGGGAAATCTTTAGAAGTCTAGATGAAATCCTTGAGAAATCTTTAGAAATCTTGAGGAAAATTAGATGAAATTGTCAAAAATCTCTAGTAAATCTTTGGAAATTTTGAGAATGCTAGAATGAAATCTGCGTGAAATGTTGATTGAATCCTTGTGCAATCGAAACAGATTCAGCCAACTTCTGATGAAATCCGACTGTATTCTGTCGGAGCCTTACGTTATCAGGCGTTTCTCTGTGAAAGGATCCTGGTGGTTACGGCATTATCTGACAAACAGTTCCGACAAGATCCGATCGGATCCTTTCCAACGTAATCCGGTCCGGAATCCGTTAGTTAGGAATCCTGTGAAATACGGTTGGGTTCCGATCGGATTTAGTTGGGAATCCGACGAATTCCGGTGTGATCCGACATCGGATCCGATAGTCTCAGGTAGGATCTACAGGTCGGATTGAATCACCTGGGATATGATAAAAATGAAATTTTATATACAATTTCAAACAAAATTCACTAGATTATGATTAAATAGAATACTACAAGCATTAACCACTAGTTCTTCTGTTATACCACCTAAAATAGAACGAGTCATGCATAATATTTTTCTGGACTAAGTATTTTATCATAAAAACCTTATTGGTTAGTGAAAATCTCTAAATAGAGAGTTTCAGAAGTCATTGATATGTTTCCTTAGTAGTAAACTTCGTATTTCTATTCTGTATATATATATATATATATATATATCTTTATATAGACTCAGACTATCTTTACAATCATTATGTTGATGTGTTTCCTTTAATTTTCGAATACGTCCTTTTATACATAGCTAAATATGGCTTCTATCCTTATCCAAACATATTCGTCGTTTGGTGTTGTTTTATCAATAATATATCAGAAAACAGCCATTGTGTTGAATAATTATCGATTTGAATACATGCTTGAGATTAATGGTATAAAAGAGACGTATTTTTCTTTGATATAACGATATCTTTATATTTCATTCGTCCAATTGAACAATTCGAAAAAAAAATGAAATAGGGCAAACAAGACTCGAAACACGAAAAGGTTGTTCTGTGAGTCTCAAGCCTTAATTGTTTTGATGATAACATAAAAGTATAGATCACACATAGTTTGGAACACTCAGTAATTTTTGGTTCACTATAGCATTTATTTCCATCGCAGATAGATCAATGGAGTATGTAACAGTGCCGTAAACGTGCGATATTTGTTCAGTGCTCTGAAAGCGCTGTAACTATACCGTATCACCCAAGTAGTTTAATTCAGCTCATTATGCCCATTATCTTCATGAACTGCTTTATAATAAAAAGAATATTACTTTCCCTTTTCTACTGCTCTTAATGTTTTTCTGGTAAAACAATGTAAAAACAGCATGCAAATGTTTCTTTTTTATGCAACATTGTGCTCAATGACAACTCGAATATTATACGAGTGAAAAGAAGAGTAGTTTCTCAAAGTCCGTTTCTTCGCCATTTATTTTCATCATTTATTACGTTGCTACTTTCAATGCAAATTCACTATCTGTTGTTTAGTTATAATCTAATAATTTAAGATTTTCTTTTACTTAGATTTGGTTAAAATGCATCATCTATTGCTGCCGTTTGGAAGAACGGACAGGCTTTTCCTGGATTATTGGGTTATCCCGTATTTTCACTCGTCAAAATCTTGCGCTCTGGATTCAGATAGGAGTCTGTTCGAAATTATCAGATTATTTGAGTTCTCGCATTGATTCTTATTCGAATTGTATACAATAACCGTAACAAAACACCTTGTTTTATACATTTTCTAAGATTACATGCCAATTTCACAGTTGATCGAACCCTACAATTTTTTTTTTGACATGAAGAAATTTACCAAAAAGATTTTTTCAATTCGATCGGATTAAATGTAAGTGCAACTAAAAACTTATCTCACGCATTAGTGATTGCTGCTGTTCGATTCCATATTGCTGCTTCAATTGATTTATCTAAGCGATAAGAAAAAAAGCACCTATATATCCTAAACAAAAAGACAAAAAAATTGCTTTTCAAGCAAACACTCATTGATCAAAAGGATCTGGAAAATATTAAAAAGATTAAAATAGGATCTCACATCAAGTCTCCTTCAAGTAGAATATGTTCTGATATAACTATAGAAGTAAGTCACTGATCACCCTTCAGTGCCCTCAATCTAAATCTGCCACGTTACAGAATCGTAGTTTAATGACAAAAAAACAATCTGTGATGAGGTATACAAAGTAATTTCAAGTGACATCTGAATCATACGGAGTTAGATACATTATAAACTACGACATCTTTTGGAAAAAATATCGATTTCGGTTGTTTAGCTACAAGAATGAAATAGATTTTTTTTTAAATATTTATCGATCTATTGATTATTAAAATGACTGGAAGAGGTCGTGGACGTGCTCCTGGTGAATATATTAATTTACCTTCAAATGCAGCTGCTGATGTTGATGCTTATTTTGAATATCGAGCGTATGAAATAAATATTCGAATTATAAATTTTGAATTATATTCTTTTTTGTTCTATGTTAGTATTGTTGGTGATGATGATAGAGGAAAAGTATTTACTCCTGAAGAATATGAAGAATATAAGAAAAGAGTTTTACCAATGGTAAAAATTTCAATGTCTTAATTTTCTTTTTGTGTGATTATCATTAAAAACTAAAGTAAACATTAGAATTTGAAAAATTTAGATTCAACCAAAGAATCTAGTTTCTCAACAATAGATTTTAAAGGGTATGTTAAAATATTCATGCATGATAATGGTATTAGTTTTTACTGTGGTATCGATTTTTCTGCATGCAATGTCTTGTTCCCTTTCTGATTCATATATAATACTCATTATACCAATGAGTGCACACGATCGCTTGGATGCATTATGAAGTAAAGATTCATTCTTACCATGTCATGTGTATAATTCATACTATGTTTGTTATGACAGTGTCATTTAGAATTAGGAGACCATCTTTAGATAATCTGTTATTTTTACATCATAGCTTGATATCCAGTAAATGAAGAACAAATTGTTAGTCTTCTACATTAAAGAAGACATATGTGTTCAGATCTAGAATAGATGCATGTAACTTAATACTAATCACATAAGCTAAGATAGTTTTTTTTTATGCTATTCGTTAAATGATATAGAAATAAAACGAGAGTGATCTTATGAAGAAAATATTTCTATTGATGAACTAAGAGAATCGATTTATTAAGATAGATTTCTCTAGATAACTAATTCGTTTGAAATTTTATTTAGCGTCTTCATAATCGATTATATGTTTCATGGGTTAATTCTCAAGGAATGGATTGTATTTTAATTGGACCACAACATAAATGTCTTTGTCGACATAAGTAAAATTCATTTTTTTATTTTTGCTTCTTCAAAATTTTGTTTTTATAAATTCAGATTTGCTGAACATAAAACAGATTTTGTTGAAATTCCTATTGAACGTCCAATATTTATTTCATGTCGTCAATCAGGTTGTCGTTGTGTTTCATTTGAATATGTTACTAATACATCGGGTACAAGTGATCCAAATTGTCGTTGTAAACATTCACTTGATAATCATACAACAAAACCACCTTATAAATGTCAAAAAAGTATTGAGAAATTTTGGTTTTTATTTACAGAAAACAAAAACAACAAAAAAAATATTAATCATTTAGTTTTGTTTAGATTGTAATTGTACCGGATTTTCTGCTCCATTTACATGTACATGTGGTGAATCAGCAAATAAACATATAACTCTAGTTGAAACAAAAGAAGAAAGAGAAAAACGCGCTCATCCAATTGGTTATGCAACACCATATCAAGCCATGGGTGGTTTAACAGGATTTAGTTCTTTAGCTGAAGGTTATTTACGATTGGATCCAAGCGGACGAGGTAAAAAAAAGAAAATATTTCTTTTATAAGTTAAAATTTAAAAATATTTAATAGGTCGACCAGATGATGATTTTCTTAATCAACCAATAACTGCTATGGATCATCCAATACTTCGTGTACATGCATCTCATGAACCTAATAGTAATATAGAAATAAGATCTTAAAATGAAAATTTATTTTGATTTTCTAAAGGTACAGAAGGACAATCACAATTAAGACATGTTGGAGAAGCTGAATTAGATTATTATGAACGTCGTTATCAAGAACGAGTAAATATATAGAAAATATTTTCTATTTTTTAATTTCATTCATTTTTTTTGTCAAGCAACGTCTTTCACGTGGTATACATGCAGCACCAAATCCATATGATGCCGATACAAAATTAACAACTGGTACACGAAATGATAAATCACCATCACATCGTATTACAGGCAATAAAAAATAGGACACATTCAATTTTGTCGTTCGTTTTAAATAAGCTCTGTATATATATAAATTAAATTAATAAAAAAGAAAACAACAATAATAAATAAGTCGATATATAGAACATCGACTCTTAAGTATAAGCGTAAAATTTCATTATCTACTCAAAGAACAAACAAAATACTTCATGTCGACAAGAAGCTAAAAGAACTTTTTCTAATATTAGTTTTCGCTCTATTAATATTGCTAATTTTCTAGAATGTAATTCAAAAAGTATATAATAACAATTGAAATTACTAAGAACAGAAAAAGAAAGTGTAAAACTTTTTTTATTTCTTGTATTTTCTCAGGGCTAGAATATGTTTACTTTTTATCAAAAGCGAATATTTGCAATAGATGACACTAGTATCCTATGAGTTAATATTAATGCCACCTATATCTAAAATATAATTTTATAGAAAATAAATTAAAAAAAATATAATTATTTATCATATAGAAAGATTTTTTCTTTAAAAAATTTTTTTTATAAAAAACGAAAATTTCTTGTTTGTTGACCTCGGCTGCTGCCTTATGACCACCGATATGGCTGTTTTTCTCATCATTACCCATCGACAAGACGAAACATGCAAAGCAACGACACCCACACGATTCTCTCAATGGAAAATGATGCCTAAAAAATGGCAAATAAACAGAACATATATTATTCATAATTTTTTTCATTTTTGAATTTTATTCTTTTCTAATAAATTAACAAAAAAAAAAAATAAATTACACTTAAAAATTACATAATAAATATATATATATTTTTTTTGTCAAATATTTTCTTCTTGCAGATATCATAACTCCCATATCTTTTGTCAAAAAAAAAAAAAAAAAAAAAATTCTTTTTTCTTATGTATCATAGACAAAATATGAGAGAAAAACTGATTTTTCTCTAAATAATTAAACACCTTTTCCTTCTTCTGTACAAATATTTCAAACTTCTTACCCGCCTATATCAAACAAAATAAAATAAAAAACATAAAGAAGAAAATACTCCCAAATTTTTTATTATCGAAATGAGTGGTAGTACAGCAGCAGCCGCATCAGCAGCACCACGTAGACAACCAGTTGATAGTAAGATATAATTCTCTTTTTTTTTTTGTTCAATAATTATTACATCTTATTTAGATCGAACAGATGCCAACAATTTTAAAGTAGTGACAGTAGTAGCAACACGTGGACGTGGTACTGAAATATCCGAAGAAATATCTTATACAGATACAAAAGTTATTGGAAATGGTTCATTTGGTGTTGTTTATCAAGCTAAACTTGTTCATTCTAATGAACAAGTAGCTATAAAAAAGGTTTTACAAGATAAAAGATTTAAAGTAATAAAAATTTTCAACAATATTTTTTTGTTTATTCAAAATGTTTTTTATTTAGAATCGCGAATTGCAGATTATGCGAAAACTTGATCATCAAAATATTGTTCAATTAAAATATTTTTTCTTTTCATCTGGTGACAAAGTAAAAGTATCATTTGTTTTTTGTTCAAATAATTCTTTACCATTAATTTTAGCTTAAAGAAGAAGTTTATTTAAATCTTGTACTTGAATATATACCGGAAACTGTCTATCGTGTAACACGTCATTATACAAAACAAAAGCAAACCATTCCGCTACTTTATGTCAAAGTAAATATAATAAACAAAATTTTTCTTAATTATATATATATATATATATATTTAGTTGTATATGTATCAATTATTTCGTGCATTGGCTTATATACATTCATTTGGAATTTGTCATCGAGACATTAAACCACAAAATTTATTACTTGATCCTGAAACATCTATATTAAAATTATGCGATTTTGGAAGGTAAAAAAGAATCAAATAAAAATTTTTTTTTATAAATTTTGTTTTTTAGTGCTAAACAATTAATAAAAGGTGAACCAAATGTTTCATATATATGTTCACGTTATTATCGTGCACCGGAATTAATTTTTGGTGCTATTGATTATACATGTTATATAGGTAAAAATTTTATGATATCAAAATTATATATTTTTTTTTTGTTTTTGTTAGATGTTTGGTCATCAGGATGTGTACTTGCTGAACTTCTTCTTGGTCAACCAATATTTCCAGGTGAAAGTGGTGTTGATCAATTAGTAGAAATAATTAAAGTATTAGGTACACCAACACGTGAACAAATTCGACAAATGAATCCTAATTATCAAGAATTTCGTTTTCCACAAATAAAAGCACATCCATGGCATAAAGTTTTTCGTAATCGTACACCACCAATGGCAATTGATTTAGTATGTCGATTACTTGATTATACACCAGCAACACGTTTAACACCACTTGAAGCTTGTGCTCATGCATTTTTTGATGAATTACGTGATTCTGATACACGATTACCTAATGGACCTCTTCCACCACTTTTTAATTTTAGTCAATATGGTTTGTTATTAAATAAATAATAATAATAATTATTATTATTGTTACTTTTTTTTTAGAACTAACTATTAATTCATCGCTCAATTCACGTTTAATTCCTGCACATTTACAAGGTCAACAAACAGTATCAAATAGTGGTGGTATATCATCAAATTCAACAGTTAATGCTTCAACAACAAATAATAGTAGTAGTGGTGGAAATGTTAATACAATAGGAACATCAAATAATGATAAACCTATAATAACAGCAACAAATCGTTCAAATAATAATTCACCACCATCAACTGTACCAGTATCAACATCATCCGCAGCAGCAACAACAACAACAGCAAATGTTAATGGACCAGGCGAAAGTGATGCTATGAACAGCCTCGATGAACAGACGGCAACTGGCGGTGATTCAATTAAAAAAGAGCATTCTTAAATAACTTTGTCGTTAAACTATTCTTTCTTCTCTCTCTCTCTCTCTTTTTTTTCTTTCTATATTATTGTCGTATGCGTGCGTGTGTCTATGTATCAGTGGCTTCTTTTAATTCCTTAATTCTTCTTATGTATACTGATGAAAGACAACAATAACATCAATGAGAAGAAAAAAAAAACAAATTTTTATTGCTATATACCATCATAGCATGAACAACTTGTTTGTATGATTAAGCAAACATAAAATCATTCAATCGGCTTTAGTGTGTATTCTTCACCGCTGCATCTTTTTCGTCGTTTTTTTTTTTCAAACATGCTTTTGTACACTATTCTTCTTTTCCCTATCTCTCCTGGGACCTGAACTTCCTTTGTATGTCTGTGTGTATTACTCTCAGTTGTGTTGCTGTTCTATATATAAATATATAAATGTGTGTGTGTGTGTTGTTCATTTGACCATCGAGAAGAAAAAAAACATAAACAGCTTCACTCTCATATATATCAACAATCGCGTCATACAGACATTCTTTTTTTGTCCTTCAGTTTTTTTTCTCTCTCTCTTTCTTTTTTTGGCTTCTTTTTTTTTTTTTTTCTTTTTTTCAGCATATACACATCAGAAAAAGTCTGCAGCAAAAAAAAAAATAATGAACCAAACATAATTTTGTTTTTTGAAAATTAATGAGAGATAAACAAAGACTTTGACCTTCGAAAACAAAAAGAAAGAATCGTATATTACAGATTTTTATATTTATAAGATTAAAGAAAAGAAAAAAAAAAAAAAAAAAGAAACAGCAACATAGAAACAAAACAATGATAGATACACGAGAATGGTTTTGGTTCGGGATTCATATTTTTTTTTATTCAATTATTTTCACTGGTTTAATATGTATATTTATTATATGGTATTATTGGTTTTTTGTTCGATATCATATTCGAAATAAATCAAAGATAAATGTAAAATTACAGAGTCGTTCATTTGTTTTTCATACATTATCATTTCAAATATCTACTAATGAGAATATTCTACTTAATGTACAAATTTCACCATTAGAAAAACAACTGATTGAATTAGCACAATTAAATGGACAACAATATAAAATAATTTCATTTGAAATACAAGATGAACAAATTGATATCATATTTGCTGAAACAAATAATCATTTAACTATTAAACATGAATATTTAGAACAACAGAGGTTAGAAATAATTCTTTTGTTTACTTTCAAAAACAAAACCGAAATTTATATTTTTAAGTTATCAAACAAAACGATCATATTTTGTACATGAATATACATTTATTTGGTCAAGTACAAATTATCGAACATGTTTTAATGATAAAATCAATTTAATCGATACAGGATATTGGTATGGTGGAGCTACTCAAAGAACAGTTTATTGGCCTATAAATCAATTTGTAACTAAACGTCAAGCAATGATTCCTCAAGATGCATACAAGTAAAAAAAAAGAAATTCATATTTTCTATAAGAGAGAGAGAGAGAGACGATCTAAAAAACCATGAGTGTTTGAAAATAGAGGGTGTGGGTAATTAATAAAAATAATTCGATTTGAATTCCATAAGAATTTATGCTAATAGATTTTTCTATATAAAATATAGAAATATGTTTGGTAATGTTTGTGAACGTTATTGGTTATCATCCTATGGTTTTGCATTATTTGTTGATCCACTTGTACCATTATTTGTTTCAATGAATAAAAAATATCTTGAATTAATATCTGAATATCGAACACCATATCGACAAAAACAATTTATTAAACATGAATTTCAATATAAAATTTTACAACATGTTAATATGCGTGATCTTCATTTAACAATGATTAATCGTTATTTAGGTAAACCAATTGATATACCTGATCATCGTATGATTACTGAACCAATATGGTCAACATGGGCACAATTTAAACAAAATATTAATACAGAAAAAATACTTAATTATGCTGAAGAAATTGTTAAAAGAAAATTTCCACGTTCTCAAATATGTATTGATGATAATTGGACACCACATTATGTAAGTTAAGATTTATATATAAAAAAAAATAAACAAAATAAAACTTCTTTTAGGGAACATTAGATTTTGATCGAAATAAATTTCCTAATCCAAAATATATGATAAAAAAATTAAAAGAACTTAATTTTCGTGTTACACTTTGGATACATCCTTTTATATCTTGTAAATCATATCAATTTATTAATTATTGGCGTCGTGGTTTATTAATAAATATGAATATAATATCATCATTATTTGATTTAATTATAGAACATAATAAATTTTTACAAATTATTTTTGATAATTTTTTAATTAATCCAAAATTTCAATATTTAATTAATTTTTTTAAATATATATATCAAAAAATATTTTTTTTTTCATTACCTGGTATTACATTATGGTGGAATGGTTTTGCTGGTATTATTGATTTTACTAATGAAATAGCACGACAAGAATATATATTAAATTTACAATATTTACAAAAATTTTATAATATTGATAATTTTAAATTTGATGCTGGTGAAGTTAATTGGTTACCTATATTTAGTTCATTTAAAAATTCATCTTTTCAACAATTATCTATAGATAAAATAACATTAGTAAACAATCCAGCACTTTATTCATATTTATATGCACAACTTGCATATCAAATTAATGTAAATAATCGTTTACAAGAAGTACGTATTGGTTATCGTACACAAATATTACCTATATTTGTTAGAATTATTGATAAAGATTCAAATTGGTCATATAATAATGGTTTACGATCATTATTACCAAGTATATTTAATTTAAGTATTCTTGGTTATCCTTTTATTTTACCTGATATGGTAAGTTTATCTTTTTTTTTCTATTTAGAAAAAAAACAAATTGACTAAAGAAAGATTCTTGAACATATAGATAGGTGGTAATGGTTATGGTCTAACAATAACTCAAACATGTTTACCTCAACGTGAATTATATATACGTTGGTTACAATTAAATATTCTTTTACCAGCAATACAATTTTCTTTTCCACCATGGATTTATAATGATGAACAAGTTATTCGTATAGCACATAAATGTCTTAAAATACGTGAACGTTTTCATTCAATATTATTATTAACAGCTGAAGAATGTGTAAAATATGGTACACCTATGATTCGTCCATTATGGTTTTTAGATCCATATGATATAAATGCACAAATATGTGATAATGAATATATGTTAGGAAATAATTTACTTATTGCACCTGTACTTGAAGAAAATATTCGAGAATTAAAAATATATTTACCACAAGGAAAATGGAAATGTATTTATACGAATGAAATTTATGAAGGAAATCAATCATTATCATATATAGTAACAATTGAAGATATTCCAATTTTTGAACGATATGAGAATTAAATATTTGTTTTTATTAAAAATTTTTTTTTTTTAAATAAAATTTATATGATGTTTTATAAATGAATATTGATACACACAATTCAATCAAAACAATAATTGTAAAATATGATTCATTAGATATGTTGTCTTCAAGATTAATATATGAAATCATAAAAGATTTGTATTAATGATAGAAGTGCATACAGTAATTTTTTGAATTCATATTAATCATATAAATGTTTTCATACGTGTTGTGATTACTTTCATTGAATTTTGAGTTCTGATTTTATTATGTTCTCTATAAATGTAAGAACAAAGATTCTTTTCCTTTTTTTTTTTTTGTTTAGAAAAATCTAACGTTCTTTTCACTTTTATTGTCTAATGCACATAATTAAAAACAAAACCATGCGTTAAAGACCGTAACGAACTGTCTATAGTTTGTCGTGCGTGCAATACAAGAAAACAACCATTTTCTGCTTGCAAATAGAGCGAAGTATATACATGCACGCGTAAAGTGCAACTTGTATAGTTTCCTCTTTCTCGACAAAAACAATTGTATTGGATATGGAAGGTGGTTAGGAGAGCGTACTTTGATACTTTCTCAGTGCTTGTATTTCACATGGAGGTTGTATCAGATATGATTAAATTTTTGTTGAATTTCAAGATTTTGGAATCCGATAGTTAGATTGTATTAAATGCAACTGAATATAATGCTTGAAAAATTTTCGAAGACACCAAATATTGACATACGAAATTCAAAATGAATCATGCTAGAAGATTTTTTTATATGAGTTTTCCTAACAGTGCCTATCGTTGTTATAACATTGAAATATCTATTGAAGTCCCAATGACAAAACAGTGCAAAGATAGACTGAAGATAAAGTATCCTATACATAGAAACGATAATGTACCAATGCTTGGTATTGAAAACATTTCACCGTGATGTAGCTTTGCGATAATTACTTCACACAATAGAATCTGCTGATGTTGAATTAATTCAGATATGATAGGCTTTACCAGTCAAATCTAATCGAACTTCAGTGAATTTGGTCGCCGTATAGAATTCTCAGTAATTTTCAGTTTTTCTTCGTACTTCAACACTCTTCTGAAGTCTTTCTATAGCCTTTTAAAATCATACAGATCAATCATAACAGAAAATAAGAAAACAAAAAAAAAGAGAAGACAATAAATTTAAAATAATAGAATTAGACGCATATTTGAGAAACATCTGAGCTATATGACATAATAAATAACTGGAAAAGTAGAGCACCGTACTTCCAAGAAAAAGTAGACAAAGAAGAATATAGTTCTGAAAAAAAATCGAAGAAATTCGATTTATTCAAGTATAATATCTTTGTTTCTTTTTTTGACTTGATAATAAACATAATGAACTTCACCTCGAAGATAAAGAAGAAGAAAAACGATCAGACAATGATGACAGTAACATCAATAACAAATACAGTGATGACGAAGAGATGATTGATATTACATCACCCTTAATAAAAATGACAATAGTGATGACAGTACAAAAACGATTTAATAGTACAAGAATTTGTAGTGAAATAGAACCGTATCCGTAAGACTTTTATTTAGACGTTAAAATTCATGATAGAAAAATATACATAAACAATCGATTTTTTTGTTTGCTAATTAAAATAAAAGTAAACTTTTTCTTATAATTGTATTTTACACTTTATCTTCAATGTTTTACTAAATTTCCAAAAAGCCATATGCTTCATTTCTTTCCATTAAATGATAATCATCTATTATTATAAATTTTCGAAAGTTATTCAAATTTTTTTTTTTTGTTTGTTTAAGATCTCGACTAAAATATGAGATGACATAGTTTTATGATCTTTATATTTCAACAAAAAAAAAGAACAAAATATCATCAGACTTCCACACACTCTGCCATCTAATCAATGAGTGACATCTTTGATATATCGAGAGGATATTACTCTATAATAATGTCGGTCGCTAGCAACCAATTGAGATTGAATTCATAAGTGTCTGTTTATTCTTTTCCTACTTCATTTTTTTTTAAATCTATTTTACTTACTTAGTTAAATTAACTATGGCTGAAGTTCATGTTATTGGACAAATACTTGGTGCAAGTGGTTTTCCTGAATCAAGTCTATTTTGTAAATGGAAAGTACAAATGGGAAGTGCATGGCGTGTTTTACAAGGCGATCATGAAGGTCAAACACAAGTTGATGAACCATTAGATGCACCGATGGCTAATTGGTGCCATCCAATTGATGTACATTTTGCTACAAAAGGTTTACAAGGTAAATAAACAAAAAAAATAGAACGAAATACGAATGATTAACGACCCGAGAGTGCAAAGAAGAAAAAAAAAAGATAAGGCAAAACTATTTCAAAAAAAAAGAATCATTCAACCATAGCGATCATCTATATATTATTTTAAACTTGATTATACTTTTATTGTAGGTTGGCCAAAATTTCACGTAAGTAATCATAATGATAATTATCTCGTTTAATTTTTCATATTATTATTAGTTACAAGTATGGCATCAAGATGTATATGGACGTAATGAATTATATAGTTATGGTTTTTGTCATATACCTATTAGTCCAGGTTTACATGAAATTGATTGTGTTACTTGGAGACCAAAAGGTAGTCTTCTTGAAGAACTTAAAACACAATTTATTGGAGGTAGTTCTCAATTAAAAGTAAGTTTTATCATAAATAAGTATAATTTTTGATTATTCTCTTTCAGTCAAAAATAGTTAATTTGAATAGTCATTATTCTAATTTTTATTTAAGTAAAAATCATCGAATTGGATATTATTTTCGAGAGACTTGAAAAAAAAAGATGTATTGTTTTTAAAATAAATTTTATTCTCATATTTTAGAATCCTGATTTAGTTTCATCAAGTGCTGAACTCTACAAATTACGAACAGTATCAATGGGTAAAGTTCATTTACGTTTACATGTTATTGTACGTAATTTTGATAAATATGGTGTCGAATTTTGACTATATTATTGTTTCTTCGATCAGATTATCTTTTTTTTTTAAATGTGAATATTTATACATCCGTCCATTTTTTTTTGTTTTTGTTTTAAATAATATTCTTCAATTAATGTTGTAGTTGTTCGGGTTTTTCTATTTTCCATTATTAATTAATAAGTGTTAAAAACAAAAAAAACTTTTTTTTTTTTTTGTTTTCTTCTTTTTAAGAATTGTTTTAGATTAACTATTTTGTTTTTTTCAATTTAATTACAAAAAAAAAGAAAAAGAAAATGGTTGATTCATTTGTGGTATTTTATTTATTTCAATCGAATATTAGTAATCTTATTTTTTTGTCTATTTCATAGTCATTTTCAAAAGAGAATTGTATGGATTCATTTCCAACATTTAAAAATTTTTATGAAATCAAAGATAATCAAGATGCATTTACAATTGATAATAGAGATATTCAAGAAATACAAAGTAATATTCAAACAAATTTAATAGAAAAAACAAAAAAATCAAAACGAATTAATTCAACATCGAACAGTACAAAAATAATAAATACAACACCTACAGTACTATGTGATATTTGTTCTGTATCTATAAGTGGTCCAATTGTTTATGATTCACATATTAAAGGAAAAAAACATCAAGCACAATTAAAAATTATTTTGAGTGTAAGGATTAATTTTTTTATTTAATAGTAAATTTTGTTTTTTGTTTTGTGATTATAGAAAAATCCTCAATATAAAATACTAACATATGAAGAACTTTGTTCATTAAAAAAACAAGAATCAATAATTGTGAATAATGAAAATGAAAAATCTGAAATATCTTTACCGGTAGAATCTATAAATGAAATACAAATTGTACCACCATTAATACCATCAAAAAAACTTAATTGTAATATGTGTAATATTTCATGTAATAGTCAACAAATGTTTGATAATCATATTGCTGGAAAAAAACATCAAATGAAACTTAAACTTAGTAATGTAAGTTATTATTTGATGATTCTATATCATCAGCACTCTCGATGGGGTGGACTAGCCCCTCCCCATTTTTGCAGTGTGTCTGCAAAATTTAATTTTACGGCTGCAGCCGATTGATCACGCGATAATATTAGCGGTGAAAAATTTTTGTTTTGAGACAATTTTTCCGAAGATTTTACTTAGCCCTGGAGGGGGGGGGGGTAGGGGTATCTTCGTCGCGCTACTCCCCGTCATCACTTTTAATGAAAAATCGGAAAGTTCCTAAAAACATATGTGACTGTCTGGCCAACGAAAAAAAATCTGTAGCTCTCCCCTCCCATTGATCTTAAATCAATGTTTTGAAATTTTCATCATTTCTCTTCATATAAGATTTATTAGAGAGTATTTGTAAGACTAGAAAAATTCTAAAAAGATTTTCATTTATAAATCTCTACAACTGAGTTATGAAATTTTTTTCAATAATATAATCTTTTAGTTAAACAATCCTGTTCCACCTCGTATTGTTCCAGATAATAATCCATCATCGTCAAATTATTGTGATGTTTGTTCAATACAATTAAATTCTGAAAATGAACTAACTGAACATCTTGCACAAAAACAACATCAAACACGAGAGAAAGAAGCTGGTATATTCTTTGTTTTTTTTCTTGTTTGCAATTATTATTTTGTTTTTGTATTGTAGAATTCTGTGCTAAAGAAGGCGCTGATATGAATATTAATTTTGATGATTATAAAATAATAACAACAATAGATATAGACAAAGATAATTTTGATTATCAATGTACATTATGTAACAAAAAATTTCGAAATAAAATGCAATTGATTGAAGTAAAAAAAAGCAAAATTTTTTTTTTTATCGATATATTTTTAACTAAATTTTTTGTTTTTAGCATTTGAAAAGTGCACTCCATAATCGACTTTCTAATCGATCAAATAAAAGAAGTCTTTCAAAAGAATCTAATCGAGGAAATAATAAAGTATATTTTCATTACGTCTTTAATATAAAAATAAATCGTTTTGTTTTTTTTTTAAAAAGGTTACACGAGAAAATATTCCACGAAATGATAATATAACTCGTCGTCAAAATTTTCCTTCATTTCGTGGTTCAAATAAATCTTCAGGAAAATCACGTCCATTTCGATCTCAAACTTTTTCACGTAATCAAACATTTCAATCATATGATCAAAATACAAGTAATATTTTTGGTGCATTTGATCCAAATAATCAAGCAACATTTTCATCTAATAATAATTACAATTCATCAACAAAACGTTCAATATCATATGAAAAAAATTCTAATGAATATGATGGATTTTATCCTAAACGTACTCGTACATATAATGATGGAAATGATAATACACAAGATTTTTATTCAACTGATAGAAATTATTATTCATCAATAAACACGGCAAATTATCCATGGACTAATAATAATAATAATAATTATTCATCACAAACAAATACTTATAATAATCCATCATCAATATCACAAACTTCATGGCAATATCAAACTGAACCTCATTATGATCAACAATCACAAGAACAATATTCAAGTAATCCTACATCATCTTATATAAATCCAATGCGTATGTATTCATCAGTTTTTGTATTAGATCCCTCTTTTCATCTTCCACTTTCTGAAATGATTTTGATTTAATTACATTTAGTCTTTTGTTTTTCGCGTAGAAGATAATCTAGTATAAATATGACGTCTAACAGTCAAAAAAAATTTTATGTTCTCTTTTGGGTCACTCGATACTTGACGAACTTTTTGACACAAGCATCAAATATGAATTAATTGCGTACTAACGTCGGAAAATTTCAGACATTCATCATGAGTTCTGGAACAATTAGAAGTCAGTTTTTTTTTAGACAAAATCGAATTTTTAGAGGAGGAAATAGTTCGTTAGGTTCTAGAGGGAATTCTTAAGAACAATATTTATCTTTGTTGTCTTTTTTTTTTTATATAGATTATCCTTCTACTCAACCACCATTACCTAATTATGGTAAAACAAAACTAATGAATTAATTATTTTATGAATTTCTTTTTCTTTTTTTGTTATTGTATAGAACCACCACCATTGCCAAGTTATCCACCACCATCATCTTATACTCGTCCTCAAACTTCAACATTTGGTAATACAGGAAACAATAATTATTTTCCAAATTCATTCGGTCAATAAATCCAATATATTGTTTTTTTATTTATTAATTTCTTTCGCCGTTTTTTTTTTTATATGTATATAATATCGACAAAAGATTCTATATTTGTTTGTTTTCTTTTTGGTTTTAAATAGACTAACATAAATATTTTTATCGTTATTATCTTCCATTTGTTTTCTTTGTTTTTTTTTTCTTTTTTCGTCGAACAATTCCTCAATCATCAAGAAAAAAGAAACATATGAAAACTGGTGTTGGTTATCTAACATGAATTGAAAATATTATATTTGTTTGTTTTGCTTATTTTCACTGATGATAAAAAAAGAAAAAAGAGAGAAACTCTTTTCTCAATTAGTTTGTTTAAAAAGATAAAAAAAGAAAAAACATAAACGAACAACTAGCGAATGGCTACGTACTCTTGATTATAAGAACACAAGGTCAACATCAATTTTATATTATCTTGTCTTTATAATTTAAAAGCAAAAAAAAAGAGACCACAAGATAACAATCTGCTCTTATTCTTTTCAACATTTTTAGATTATCAACATGAAGTGGACAGAATATGTAGTTGGATATATTTTTGTTGTTGTTGTTAGTTTGTGTTCATATGATCATCGAGTAAATGCACTTGATAATGGGTTACTTCGACAACCACCAATGGTAGAATATATATTCGATGCAAAAGTAATGAAAATTTCTATTTTTTTTTTACCAGGGTTGGTTAACATGGCAACGATTTCGTTGTGTAACTGATTGTCAAGAAGATCCAGATACATGTATTAGGTAAATTTAAATTAAGATTAAAGTAATCTTCCATTTTTGAGAATCAAAACTAATTAATTAATATGATTAATTTTAGTGAAAAATTAATTCGAACACAAGCTCAATTACTTGTAGATGGTGGATATTTAGCTGCTGGATATGAATATATTATTATTGATGATTGTTGGTTAAGTAATACTCGTGCACCTGTAAATTTTTGCAATAAAATATAACCTATATATTTTTGTTTTAATGTAAATATTTTATTTAGGATGGTACATTACAACCTGATAGTAAACGTTTTCCAAGTGGAATACGTGCATTAGCTGATTATGTTCATTCATTAGGTTTAAAATTTGGTATTTATGAAGATTATGGTACAGAAACATGTGCTGGTTATCCTGGTATTTTAGGACATTTAGAACAAGATGCTAAAAGTAAATAACTTTTTTTAGAATGTGTTTAATAAAATTATAGTAAGAAGAAATTTCATTTGTTTTTTTTTTTTTTTTTTTGTTAGCATTTGCTAATTGGACAGTTGATTATTTAAAATTAGATGGTTGTAATGCTGATATAAAAGATTTTGATACTGGTTATCCAGCTATGGGACATGAATTAAATTCTACAGGTCGTCCAATTGCATATTCATGTTCATGGCCAGCTTATGATGAATTTTCACAAATAAAACCAAATTATTCAGCTATTGCACAAACATGTAATCTATGGAGAAATTGGGCTGATATTGATGATTCATGGGAAAGTGTTTATTCAATTGTACAATGGTTTGGTGATAATCAAGATCGTTTATCACCATTTCATGGTCCAGGACATTGGAATGATCCAGATATGGTTCGAAAAATTTTTCTTAATGTTTATTAAGATTTAGAATTTTTTTTCTAGATTGTAATTGGAAATTTTGGTTTAAGTCCAAGTCAATCACGAGCACAAATGGCACTTTGGTCAATTATGGCTGCACCACTTATTCTATCTGTTGATTTAAGAACAATTAGTAATTGGGCACGAGATATTATTTTAAATAAAAATTTAATTGCTATTAATCAAGATCCACTTGGAGCTATGGGAAGACGTATTCTTAAAGTAAAGAGAAATACATCGTCTTTGAAAATATATGTTAAAAAGTTTTTTTTTTCTTATAGTTAGATAATCATGTTGAAGTATGGAGTAAACCATTGATTGATGATCGTGTTGCGGTTTGTGTTTATTTATAAGATTTTTTTTTTTTGTTTTTTACGACTGATTTTTCTATATTTTATAGTTTGTTGCACTTTATCCTGAACCATATGGAACACCAATTCATTTAAGTATTAATCTTACAGATCTTGGTTTAATTCGATATCGAGATTATAATTTTTTTGAATCATTTTATGGTGATTTTCTTGGAAAATATCATTATACAGATAAATATAGTTTTACAATAAATCCATCGGGTGATGTACATGCATTTTATGTTGAATCAGCTATACCACAAAAAAAATTTCGTAAGAATTTGTGAAAAAAATTTAAATTTATATGAACATATATTTTCTTTTATTTTCTGAATTTATGTTTTGTTTTTTTTTTTTCGTTCTTCTTATATATATATGCATTAAGTGAAAATGTACCCGCTAGTCTTTCAAGCGTAATTCATTTATTCATTTCTTTTAAATAGGTGATGTGTTTTTTTTTTGCGTTTATTTCTTCTTTTTTTTTTGGCTGTTTATATAAAACATGGTCGATTTTTTTAATATTATTTGAATGAAATAAAAATTTGTCTGCAGACTATTTTTTTTTTTTTGTATTCATAAACGAATTTAATATGAGGATTTTGATAATTATTCATGTGGAAAAGCTTGGTTTATTTCGTTTGTAAAAGTCTAATCATCTTAAAAATTACAATCAGGATGATGAATAGAATGATTTATCATTTTTCTGTTATATCATAATCTCGAGATAGAAGACATGAAATTTTCATACAAAGAATTAATCTCAAATCTGTTACTTAGATACTAATAGTTTCTATCAAATATTAATGATGTTTAAAAAGCAATGAACTTTAAATAAGTCTTGTAGATTTTTTAAATATTTCGTTCACCAGTGTTTGCTTTCTATTGAAACTAAAAATACTTCTAACTAGATGGTATTCAAGTTCCACTCGATTTCAAAATATAGTGCGAAGCTACGAATGTTGATCATCGAAAAAAATCGATTTATCGTCAGCTGATCGAATAAACTGCTGTCTTCATTTCAATCACCTTAAAGCTTGTAAAACAATAAAATCCACAAAAGGAAAGAATTCGTTATGAGCAAAATCGTCCATATTTTCTCATTAAATTCAATTTTATTTCACGTATTTTGTCATTTTCACACTTCTAATGCATTCTGTACTATATGCTACGTGATTCAGCTAACCGAGATTTAGTTATGTTTTACATCATCCCAAAGATTATGTTATAGAGTGTTTTCATGGTCAATGCTATATTTACTTTCTCATATATTCAACCAATCTAAATTATATGAAGAACGAAGCTGCTTAAGTTCACCGTTCTTTAGTGAACTCCGATGACGTATTTTACTTAGTTTTCTTCGGCCATAATATCAGTCCACCTCGAATTTCAAAATTATATTTAAATGATAGAATACGAGTTTTCATTGATTAAAATGCATACATCCACTCTGTATATGTACCAAGTGTGGGTACGAATGGGTGTGCCTATTAGCGAAGAGAATATCCACAGCCAAATTAGAAAAAGTAAACATTGTTTGTACATATCAACAGTTTTATCCCTTTCAATGTTTTTTCCTACAATATAACCACAAACAGTGTGTATTCACACTGATGAAAGGCAAATCGCATTTTGTAACGCGAGGCGCTTGTTTCGAGATATTTCTTGCGACGAGCTTGCGAAACATTCTGACCACATGGTTCGAGTCTACACTTTGGTACCTTAAATATTTTTTCGGTTTAATCTAGATTATTAGTTCCTACTCTTGGAGTAAGAACTGACAAAACTCTAAGATCCAGTCATTCCGAGTCGATTTGGTCTCGCTCAGCTTCCTTTACTCTAGAAAAAAATCCGCTATTGTGGAAACCTATACGAGGTTCTCATGTTTGTCACAATACGAAACCCTGTATAGATTTTCAAGAAATGGTTTCTGAGTTCTTGGAAACCCCAAAAAGCAATCGAAAAAGCTCAAGATTCAACAAATGCTGTAAAGATTTTCTAAACTTCGAAAACCTTGTTTAGCTTTCCGGCAGCAACCCACAAAAAGATTCACTAATCTATTTTAACGCCATAATATAACTCATTATTCCATCCTCTGGATCTAATCCATCATTCTAACCGATATGGGTGCGGATGTGAATGCTGGCTAAAAGAAAACTCACATCTACACTTCGCGTTCTAACACTCACCCACATCCAAACTAAACCACGTGGTTTAGTTTTAAACACAAAATTAGAATACCAGAGCCATCTACTGATAGTAAATAAATCATCACTAAAGCTGTTTAGTGATATATTAAATAATCGTTTGCTAGTTTTATGTGTATGAATGGACTATTTATTTGTGACTAAAAACTTGGAACTATCCTCTGTCCTGAGCAAAAAAAATCAGTTCATTTTGTTCAAGCATGTTGGAGATATTCAAGTTTTTTCTTTGTTAAGTTCCTTTCTGGACATATTATAGTTACAACTATCTGAAAATGTTTAAAATTCCTGTTTCTTATTTAAATAATAAACACTTTAATTTAAAAAGATAAAAGATTAAAATATAATAATATTGTTTGTAGTAAATTTCACTAAATCTCTCATAGAACTAAAAATTATTGAAAAAGAACCATAGATGAAAAAGTATGTTAAGGTAGTTTTACGAATATTATTGTTCTATATATAAATATGGTCCAACTGTATGAGTTAGATCAAAATACAAAAACAAAAAAACGTTTTGGTGTATTCAAACAATACACCACGAACAAAATAAAGAGAGAAACCTTTGAATAGTTTTATTGAGAGAGAAACAAGTGCAGTCTTTTGATTTTCAATAAGACACTTAATGATTTATTGCAAGCATGCTTTGCAACAGATTGCTGCTGCTCGTTGAAACATTAGCAAGAGGACATTGATAATAGTAGAGGTAATAATTTTTTGCTGGCGTTAATGTCATCCTTTTCTATTGATGTTAGATAATCTTCTTTCTTGAGTGTCCATAAAAAATATATAGTAAGAGACAAGAAAGAAAAATTGTCGTCAAGCGATATGTTT